AGTAAAAATGTTCTCAAATTAGATTGAAATATTAATAGTACTCTCAATGTACTAAACAGTTAAATTGTATACATTATTTTATACCATGTAAAATATCTCAGTAAAGTTGGTAAAATTTAACCAAAATTAATAATCTATTTTAAAGGTACAAAATTTTATATGAAGAAAGGAGATGCTGTTCTATTGTATCTCTTTGCTACCTAAACGTATATACATAAATGTACTTGCAAGAATTATTTTTCAAACAAAGAGAAATAAAATAAAGGGGTGAACCAAGCTGTCCTACCCTCAGAAGAATTTGAAACCTCAGAGTAGCCACCAGAATAGATTTTTTAACATAATATTATTTTGAGTATTCCCCAAATTGTTGAAAAGAGATAAAGTCTAGAGATCTTTGAAAAAATCAGACTTTTAAAAAAATGTATTGGTACAATTTAGAATACATAATGATGATATTCATCATAGGAAATTTGTACCTATACATTATGTATCTTGATTCCTTTTTTTCCCATTCTCCTCCCCCCTTCCTTCAACCCCCCTTCCCCTCCTTATTTACAAAAGCCCCATTTCCATTTTTTCCTTTTCTCATTTTTTCTTTTTTCTTCCTTCTTTTCCCCCTCCCACTCCAGTTCCCCCTTCCTTTTGAACAGTTTTTTTTATCTTGCATTGTCTATTATGAATTTTAGTCCCTATTTACACTTTCAGTTTATTTTTTCTTTCTTTTTTTGTATTGGAGATCAAATTCGGGTCCTTGCACTTGCAAGGCAGGCAGCAGAACCACTGAGCTAAATCCCTAGCCCCACTTTCAGTTTCTTATACCAGAGAGACAGTGCAATATTTACATGTGAGTCTGATTTATTTCACTTAAGAGTATACCTTCAAAGTGCATCCATTTAGCTATAAATGTCTCAAGTGTATGCTTCTTTATAGCTGAGTAGTACTCCATTGCATAGAAAAAACACACCTTTTTATCCATCAGTTAATGAGCATTTGGATTGTTCCCAAGATTTAGCTATTATAAACTGTGTCACTTGGAAATAGCCCATTTGCCCATTAGTTGGAGACTGGATAAAGAAGATGTGTTTTTTCTATAAAATGGAATACTACTCAGCCATAGATGAGAAATTAGAGTCTTTCATAGGAAAATGGTTACATATTGAGGATATACTCCTAAGTGAAATACATAAGCTACAAATGTATAAATACTGAATAGTTTCTCTGGTGTGAAAAACTATGATGGTACATAAGATCCTAATAGTATAATTGACAATATGGAATATGAAGAAAATGGCTAAAGGTGTAAGGGAAATGGGAAGGGTAGGGAAAAGGTAATAAGGGAAAAGAAAAAAATGAAAAAATGGAAATAAAGTATTTGTAAATAGGGAAGGGAGGAAGGGGTGAAGGGGAAAAAAAAATAAGAACCAAGACCTGTCATGTAAAGGTACAAGATCCCAATGATGAATGTAACTGTACTGTATACCTAAAATGTACCAATAAACTCAATGAGAAAAAAAAACTCGTTATAAACATGGTTATGAATATATTGCTGTGGTGTGATGCTGTTGCAGCCAGCATTTACAAGAGAATAAATTTACTACAGGACACATAATTTGTAGGATTATTTTATAATAGTCACCCAAAAAGTCAAATGCAGAGGAGTGCAAGAGATCTTACCACACACTAGAGACCCAAAGAATCTAGCCAGAAAACCTGCATCGCTGTGGTGACAAATTTGTACCACCAGGCTGAGGGATCAACTATGGAGCCAGGAAATGACATGGTGAAGATCAGCGGTCCCTTAATGAGAACAGCAGACATTCCTAGGGACAGTAAGGACTCAAGCTCCTCAAGAGAACAGCCACGTTCCCATAAAGAAAACAGCCAGAGCAAGCTGCTCCTAGAAAAATCATCGGCCACCTATCTTTCCCTCCAGTTCTCTTTTTATGCTATTGGCAACAATCTTCAAGTAGGTTTTCCATGCCCAGACCACACTGATTCAGCTCATCTGGGCATTCCAAGTTGACCATTAGTTAATCCACCATAGATGTTTTTAATTCTTTTGGGAAGATACCCAGAAGGGGAATAGCTGGGTCAAATGGGATCTTTCATCCTAGTTTTTTTGTTGTTTTTTGTTTGTTTGTTTGTTTGTTTGTTTGTTTGCAATACTGGGCATCGAACTGAGGACCTTACATTTGTGACGCAGGCGGCAACACCACTGAGCTAAATCCCTGGCCAAATCCTTGTTTTTTGAGGAATCTCCATACTGATTTCCACAGTGGAAAAGGGTTCCTTTTTCACCACAACCTCACCAGTATTCGTTGTTGGTTGATGTAGTTTTTGGTGTCAGATTTTGAGACCTGTGGAGAGAGGGTGAAGTGTGGAGACAAGACCAACTCCGGGGAGGATTTTGGAGAATCACGTCCGCTTTATTGTGTCGCGTTACAGGATATATAGCATGGATCTAATTTGCATGGGGGAGGAGATGGACAGAGAAGATACGGGTGGCATACAGAGATTGGCTGAGCCCAGAGAGTCATCGGTTGTTAGGGAACTAGAAGGCGCAAGAAGCGTGGCCAAGGAGGTGCTCTACACACTGGTTCAGGCAGCTTGCATGCCTTTTTAATGTCCTATAGTTTGCTACTGGTCTTTGGTGTGGCGCACCTTGCTCAGCCAGACTTCTGGTGCGCCCATGGGTTAATTTCTTGATATTAGCCATTCTTTCTAAAGTGAGATGGAATCACAGTGTTGATTTGATTTGCATCTCTCAAATGACCAGTAATATTGAACATTCTTTCATATATTTATTTGCCATTTGTACTTCTTCATCTGAGAAATGAGTATTCTCATCTGAGATGCCCACGTTTGGATTGGGTCTTTAAATTTGGTGGGGGAGTCTAATTTTTTTCAATTCTTTGTGTGTCCTGGATATTAGTCTTTTGCCTGAGGGACAAAATTTTTTCCCACTTTGCAAGCTGTCTCTTCACTCTGTTGGTTATCTCTTTTGCAAAAGCTTTTTAGTAGGATGAGAACCCAAACAGCATGGTACTGACCTGAGAAGCAATGGAACAAACTAGAAGATACGGAAACAACCACAAACACACTCAGCTACCTTATCTTTGACAAAGGGGCCAAACATGTTCACTGGAGGAGGGACAGCTCTTTAATAAGTGGTGCTGAAAAAACTGGCTGTCTACATGCCGAAAACTAAAACAGTTCACTAAATTAAAATCAAAATGGGTCAAATGTCTAAATATTAAAATGGAAACACTAAATCTGCTAGAAAAGAGAATAGGGAGAACTCTTGAGGACATGGAGGTAGGCAAAGCCTTCATGAACAAAACCCAGACTGCACAGGAAATACTACAAAAGAATCAGACTTTTAATGCTATATAATTCGAAAATAACAGAAACATTTTGAAAGGTTTTAAATAAAAACAACACTTGCATGAGGCATGATGAAGTAGCCATTCTCTTTTCAAGATGAGTTGTCATCTCACTGCATTTTTTTTTTATTTTATAGTATTTTGAATGACTTTAAATAACAGGGTTTTCTTCTTTGCCATTAAGTAATTTATCCACCTTTGCACATTCTAATCCCCACAGGGTTTTTTTAGGTGGGAGGTTTTTTGTTGTGGTAGTGGTTTGGTGTATTTTGTTTGTATTTGGTTAGCTATATAGTTCAAGCTGGCCTTGAACTCACCATGTAGCCCAGGCTGGCCTCAAACTCATGGTGATCCTCTTGCTTCAGCCTCCCAAGTGCTGGGATCATAGGCATGTGCTACCACACCTAGCTATAATTTCCCTTTTTAAAATAAAATACCAGTCATTCCACTTAATGATTTCTCTAGTGAAATTAATGCAGTAACAATTTCCCCAAAATAATTAATAATAATATACATAGTGATTTAGAAAAAAAAAGCAAGAATGACTAATAGTTTGAAATTTTTCTCAGGTGACCTCATATCATTCTTGCTTTTTCTAATATCCTTCACACATACTGTGTCCTTGCTCTGTGTTCTGGCATCTTCTGTGTTTTCCTCTCACCTCCATTAGACCATGTTCTTCTTTAAGGCAAATGACTGGATCTTATCTTTGTACCTCAGCATCTCACTGAAGATGCGCAGTAAATACTCAGTTGAGCTTAATCAGAGGTGAAGTCCTATCTCTAGTTGTTATAGAGGCTGATGTTTAGCCAGTTAATTTTTTTAAGTTGAGGCATAGAATTAAGGAAAACAGTGTATTTTTAATTTTTGTTTAAACATTATATAATTTTAATGATTATTTGATACAGGGTATGACCTTTCAATATGAAACCCTAATTTTAGTTCTACTTTGTCTTTGTTGAATTAAAATTCAAACTTTTTTAAAAGGACTAAAGTAAAAGCAATTTAAATTGGAGGTATTTGGGAAGAACTTCAGGAATTAATACAAAATTTTTTTCAATCTTTACTATTTTTCTAATCTGACAGATATCCACACCTAATCCAACAGCAATTTTGTTTAACAGCTCAGTTTTGTAGAGTCTGCTCTAAGTATTTTTAAAAGTTCTTATACAAATGATGGCTTTCATTTTGTAGTATTTCTGATAACTCAAAACAGTGTCAGACTTGCGAACAAACATAAGTGACTGCCTCTTGGCATATAGCTCAGTTTTTAGATCAGAAATGCAAGGGAGTGATAGAGAGTAGCTAATTAGGTATGCACAATAAAGCTTAACATGACTATTCAGTAATATATTTTATAAAAATGACAGTATTGTTAAGCTAGTATATCACTTAGTAGAAGAAACTTCAGAAAACTTATATTGTACTTATTTTCTTCTATACCAAAATTTCAATTGTAGAACTTACTCAGAGTCACCTGTATCTGGCTACAATAGTTTATAAACTTTGTTTCCCTTAAAACTAGGTGCTTTGAAATGTCCTATTGTCATCTTAGGTCTGTGACTATCCCCAAATAATTTCATGCTAATTGGTTTTTTTAATTTGTTTTAATTTCAGTGGTAGGAATGGGATCCTGGTGCTTCCACATGACTCTGAAATATGAAATGCAGGTTAGTAATAACAAGATTCCCTTAATGCTTGTTTATCTAAATCAGAGGCACTTCTGATTTAAGAAAAATATAAAAGGAGATTTTTAATTTCTGGAGTTTTTCTTTTTTTTTTTTTTAATTTCAAGTAAAAAGATCCACAGAAGCAAGATGAATTGTCTGTTTTTTAGAAACAAGCAGTACAGCTTTTTTATGAACTCTATTCTAGCATATACAATTTTAGAACAACACTGTATATGAATCACATTGGAGACATCTTAAGATGACATAATCAGTTCATCAAAACAATACATTCTTATTCTTAGATGCCTGTATTCTTTCATGTCTGTATGGCATACATTTCAGGGGTTCCATCTCTTTAGATGGAAAAGTTTTAGAAGTCTGAAAGGATTTTTAGTTCCTGCCATGGCTATAAAGAGATTATGTGTCCAATCCTTAATGTTTGACCTTTTGGGTTATCCTCAATAACTTAGAAACTTTTAGAACGTCACTGTACAGTAGAAATAAAATCTGAGGAATATATGTAATTTAAGATTTTCTAATAGCAACAAATGAAAAAAGGTAAAAAGAAATGGGTGAAATTAAAACCTTTTCCTTTTTTGAGGTACTAAGGATTGAAGCCAAGGTCTCATGCACACTCTGCCATTGAGCTGCAGTGACATAGCTCATCGTGCAGGACTTGTGATCCATCCCCAGCACCACACACACGCATATGCACACATGCATGCACACACACACACACACACACACACACACACACACACACACACACACACACACACACACACACACGCTCACATCTGTAATCCCAGCTACTCTGGAGTCTGAGGCAGGAGGATTACAAATTTGAGGCAATTTAGCAAAACCCTCCTCAAAAAAAAAAAAGCCTAATTTTTTTCATTCTTTGAGCAATGTTGGTAGTTCTTACAGAAGTGTTGAGGATGAGATGTATGAAATACAGTCCCCACTCTCCCCAGACAACATGGAACTTTCACTAAACAAGATCTAAGGAAGTCCCCCCAAGAGAGATGGAGAACTTTGACTCAACCCATCTGCAGGGCAGGTTGTGGGTTTGCTGACATCCATCAGAGAAAAAGAATTTTCAGAATGTGTCAGCAGGAGACATGAAGAGCTCTGTTAGGCAGAATTTATAAAAATTCTCAAAGAAAATAGAGGGCTAGCCCTCAAGAGAGAGGTGCATTATAGTCTGGAGGTGAATATTATTATACATTTTGGGCAATGGAAATTTGTGGACTTTGTGAATCTATAGGAAGTTTTGGCTTGGTTTGCTACAAGAGAAAAGTGATGGCTGACGCACAAGTAAATAATGGCTCACTTTACTTGTAAAAGGTTGGCCCTTTTACAAAAGCACAGGCAGGCCCCAGTCTGTGGTATTTTTTAAAATGGGTGATCTACATTGTTTCTTTGAAACATTTGACTCTGTTTTTCTTGATGTCAGGTTTATACCCTTTACTTGTCAATTATAAGATAATTTATAGCCTTAGAATATCTCTAAGGGATTTTGGATATGATGGGCCTGGAAGAAAAAAAAAAGCATAAATAAGTTTCAGGAGTACAGACATGGGTAATTTTGGGTAACTCTGTGTCCAAAATTTGTAGTCTTCTCAAAAGTACAATTTTTAAACTGTGAACTCCTATGTCTCCTTCCTGCCTATTTTTATCTTTTCTACCCTACCTCACTACAAATTTTTTAAAACCTTTTAATACTATCCATAGGTCAAGCTCATAAACTGAATTACAAGTTTTGTGACCTGACCCCTACCTTCTCTGGAATTATCTTTAAATATATATACCACCTCTGCTTTTTTACTAGTCATAATTTTGTTAGTTATAGTTTTTAATAAGACTTTTATATTTCTACCACCCAGATATTAAAATGAATACCCTTTTCACAAATAAGTAGTTCAGTTTAGTCCTTTAACAAATAAGCTGCCAAAATCTGTACATTAGTTCAGAGCTGCAGATTTTTACTTCTGATAACCTGATTGACATTTCTACTTGTCTCTCAGATATCTCAAACTCAAACTGCTGAAAATTGTTCTTACCAGTTTTTTTGTCTCAGGAAACTATACTGTGCCCACTGAATGTTTAGTCAAAAAAACTTGAGTCATTTTTTGTAGTTTTATCTACCTTGCCTTTGTGTGAAAATCACAACAATCTCTATTTTATTTCCTAAATATTTCTCCAACTTTACTTACATCTATTCTCTTATGCTACCTTTATACAAGCAGCGACTTCTCTAGCCTGAACTCTCGCAGTAACCCCTTAGATAGTCCTCACATATCTACTCCTTCCTCCTTCAAACACTCTGCACATACCTGATCTGACATTGTATATTAACTATATTTTCTGCATTTTTAATGATCTAGCACTTGATGCCTTGCGGACTAGGGAAAGACTGCCCCTCCTTTGACTGCTCAGTTTTTAGAGATTACTAACAGTTTACCATACCAAGACAGTGCCTTTTAAATACAAACTAACTAAACCAGAACTGATATTCCAAACCACTTCTTGGATTTGGTTCTAACACTCCAGAAGTCTGATGCCTGTGCCCTAATCACTTGATCACTAGAGACAGCCTCTGTACCCTGAGGCTGCTGAAATTAGCCAAACTAGTCAATCCTAATCATGTTTACCCTCTCTTATCTTGCCTTTCCTGTGGAAATTCATAAGATTCTCTCTCTCCCCCTTTTCCTTGTGCTCTTTGTGCTCCCTGATGGACCCTGATATATCTCCTTGGATCTGTAATAGACTATCTTTTAAAGTTGTACCTGGGACAAAACCCAAGATCCACAACTTAACGGAGGAGGGGTTTATTTTGGCTCACTCTTACTGTCCATGGTCACCTGGTTCCAAGGCAGAAGTAATGTGGTGGAATGGCCTGCTGCAGAGGAAAGTTGCTCACATAAGCACTCAGGAAGCAGAGAGCAAAGGGAAGAGTCAGGAAGGGAGGCCTTCCAGGTCATGGCCTCTGTGACTCTTCCTTTTGACCAGGCCCATCCTAAAAGCACACTCAGCTTCTGAACTCTACTATAGCACCCCCATGATCCTATCACTTACAAAAGCCCCATATCTGAACACATAAGGCCTTTGGGGGACATTGTAGATCTAAATCATAACACTTTTCAGTGGCAATTATGCCTTCATCTATTGGTGACAAAATTGAATAGAACTGTATTTTAATACATATCACCATCCCCTTGCTTAAACTTTTTCAGTGGCATATCATGCTATTCTTACCCCCTTTTTTATATTTTAGTATATGGTTACAGTACATAATAAATTCACTTACCATTGGAAATTGATACATATACATATTGAATCTTGATCACTTTTGCTTCCCTTTTGTCTCTACTCTTTCCCATTCTGTAAGTTGTCTCTGTACCCTGTTGGTTTCTTTTTCTGTGCTGAAGCTTTTTAACCTAATATGATCATATGTGTTGATTCTTAGTGTCATGTCTCACGCAATTGGGATTCTGTTCAGTTAGTCTTTGCCTATACCTATGCCTTCAAGAGTTACACCTATTTTATCTTCCAGCAGATTTTATTTTGTTTCTGTTTCAGTGTTCAGGTCTTTTTGATTCTTTTTTTTTTTTTTTTTTTTTTTTGGTACCAGGGATTGAACTCGGGTCCTTGCGCTTGCAAGACAGGCCATCGAACCGCTGAGCTAAATCCCCGGCCCTGATTCATATTTATTTGATTTTAATATAGGATAGGGAGGGAAATATGGGTCTAGATTCAATCTTGTGTATATAGATAGCCAGTTTCCCAGCACCATTTGGTAAAGAGGTGCTTTTTTTTTCCTTCCAGTATATATTTTTGACCCCTTTGTTAAATATCAGATGGCTGAATGTGCCTGGGGTTGTTTTCTTCATTCTCTACTACATTTTCTGTTCTAGTGATCCACATGTCTACATGTCTGTTTTTGTGCCAGCACCCTACTGTTTATCATGGTAGCTTTATAGTGTAACTTGAAATCTGGGGTTGTAACGCTTCTTGCTTTGCTCTTGTTGCTGAGGATGACATTTGTTATTCTTGGTGCCTTCTGGGTTCCATATAAATTTAAAATTTTTTTTTGTAATTCTATGAAGAACGCTGTTGGTATTTTAGTTGGCAGTGCATTGAGTCTATATATCATTTTTTTGGTAATATGATCATTTTGACTATATATAATTTTGGTTCTATTAATCCAAGAACTGAGGTTGTCTTTCCATTTTCTAATGTCCTCTTTGATCTCTTTTTTCAGAATACTATCATTTTCATTATAGAAGGCTTTTACTTCCTTCGTTAGGTTAAATAGGATTTGTTTTAAGATAATGTAATTGGGGTTGTTTTCCTAATTTCTTTTTTAATGGATTCATTGTTAGTGTACAAGAATGCTATTGATGTGTTAATTTTGTATCCTGCTACCATACCATTCTTTTAATATAAAATTAAGAGTGTGTTGGCCAGGGATTTAGCTCAGTGGTTCTGCCGCCTGCCTCACAAGCTCAAGGTCCTGAGTTCAGTCCCCAGTACCCAAAAAAAAAAAAAAAAAAGTACCTTTTTGCTTAGGAAAGTGTTTGCTGCATATTGTCCCAGCTTCTTTTTTATACCTTCTCTTCCTTACTAATTAAGCTTCAGAGACATTGGGTTGTTTTTTTTTCAGTTATTCAAATTCATTTTCCATCACAGCATCTTGTTCATGCTTAAGCATCTCATCTTCCCCCTAATTCCTGTTTACCTTAATTCCATCAGTGTCTTTTTCAGGTATCATTTTGTGTCACTCTTCCAATGAAGGTTTCCAGTGAAGGATTTCTAAGTTAACATCATTATTTTATAATTATGGTACTTTGTACTTATCCTTCATAGCACTTACCATTATTACAGTTAAATACTTACTTGTACAGTTAACTTTTTTAACTTTATTTTTATTAGTTTATTAGTAGATGTGTGCAGTGCATAGTGTGGGAAGTTGGTATATGTATATAACACGTGTTAATTCCTCTTTTCAACACCTTTCCCATACATCTTTACCCTCTCCACATACCCCATGATGTCTTTCCTCCTGCTAGATTACAAATAACCATGAGAAACAAGGACTATTTTCTTTCCAGCACATGGCAGTGTTAGGCATATAGAAGTGCTTAACATGTATTTACTGAATGACTAAAAGATTGATAGTTATTTCAAGTGCCTTTCATAGACTATATTACAGGGAACCTAGATCTTTTTATATACTACCCTCTAAATATAAGGTGTGATAAAAAATACTGTTTAATTTTTGCCATTGAAGTTAAAGACAGTGCCATTAATCCCTCTCAGAATCCCTCTCACTTACCTCAGACACACTTATTCCATCATTCTTGACACTTTCTGAGGCAGTTTTAGAAGTGCTTTTTCTTTAGTTACATTGCCATGGCTATCTCGATGTCCCAAATTGATTCAGAACATTTGCCTTTCATGGTCATATTGATTTTGAGGAGGAGCCAGAATCTACACGGGGCCAGATACAGTGAATAAGGTAGATGCGAATACCACAATGTTTAGCCATAATGTTTTTACAAATTTTTACAAAGTCTACTTTCCTTTGGATGGCATTTGCAACATTTGCCATATTATTAATCACACCTTATGAAAATACTCATGAAAGATGACTTCCATGACTGCTTCAGAAAGTATCAAGAATGATTAGATAAGTGTGTTGAAAGTGAGGGGGAGTATTTTGAGGAAGACTAATGGCAATGTGTCTTTTACTGTAATATTTTTTTAATTTAAATTTTACTGTATATTTTGATTACCTTTATATATGGATAGTAGAAGGTCTACAAATATGGGCCCTTTAGGTATTTCAGTAAATTGTGGAAATGCTGGATAGCTATAATAATATTTGCTAACAATGAAAACTGAAATAAAGAAGACAAAAATACAAAAGGTATTTAAGTAAAGCCAGTAGATTCTGTTCCAATACTTAGGTAAATGCTGCATATTATAAGACTAGTGGTAGATTTAGCTCCAGCATTTTTTTTAACATCCAAAGTTGATTCAAGTAAAAGGCTTTGAAGGTAATATAACATAGTTCAAAATCTGACTCTGCAACTTATTACTTTTTGATCATAGACAAGCTACTTAAATTAACTAAACCTCACTGTTCATTTTGAAATAAAAATATCTTAGAGTTATGAATTTAAGTGATATAATATCTAAAGCATTTAACCATATGATCTTACACAAATGCTACTATTTTCACTATTCTAATAATTTACCCGCATACATCATTTACTTTGCATAAACTCTCTTCTTATTTCCTAGAATGCCATTTTCCACTTTTTCATTTCCAGCCATTTTTTTCTGGTTTCTCTATACTCCTTTTGTTGGAATCATTACTCAATCTAATCACATGTTTTCCAGTTCTTTACCTTTTTAACCTGTGAATTCCTTGAGGACAGTTACTGTATCTTTTTTATCATTGTATCTTTAGCTCCTTAACACATTGCCTGGTGCACAGTAGACATATTAGTAAAAAATTAATTATATATGTAGTGATAAATACACTCAATAAGATCAATTTAAAGATTAGAAATAATAGGCCAGTAATGGTAATACACACTTGTAATCCCAGCACTTGGGAGGCTGAGGCAGGAGGACATCCATGAGTTTCAGGTTTCCCTGGGCTAACTAGTGAGTTCAAAGCCAACCTGAACTACATAGCAAGACCCTGTCTCAAAAAAAAAAAGACTAGAAATAACCAATCTATGACACCTACCTTAATGTCCAGAATGCAGTTTAATAAATAATAGCCATAATTACTACTATTCTGCTAATAATAAAAATATTACTTTTTTTAAACATATGCTTAATTGAATTAATAAAATTATTTCTCTGGCCTTTAATACATCTTTTATTTATGTTAATGGATATTTTACCTACTTAAGGTGTTACAGGAAGAAAAGCAAAGTAAAAGAATACTGCTAAGACCTAGAGACATGTAGTTATGGGACTTCATTCTTTCCTAGAAGTATAGTATCATAGTCAGTGATGTGAACTACATATGGCTGTCTTATGTGAATAGTGAGTTGGGTGTGCTACTTAGATGTGTATATTGGGATAGCTAGATGGATAATCTATTCAAAGACAACAGACTATACGTACTCAGGGAGTAAATTAAATGATGGTAAATATATAAGAAAAACAAGAGGGGCTGGGTATGTAATTTAGTGGCATTACACCTGCCTGGCAAGTGCAAGGTCCTGAGTTCAATCCCTGGTAACCAAATACAAAAGGTTGGGGGAAGAAAAACAAGAGATGACTAATCTTTTTTTGGGGGGGGGGGCGGTGGGACTAGGGATAGAGCCCAAGGGCTTTAACATGCTAAGCGTATGCACTACCAGAGCTACATACCAAACCCAAGAGATGATGATCTTAATCATTCTGATATTTTATTTTTATTTTTATTATAATTGCAGCTTCATGATGTTCAAGTCTATTGTGTCTTTCTTTCATATAGCTATTGGATGAACTCCCAATGATTTACAGCTGTTGCATATTTGTGTACTGCATGTAAGTATTAACATTTGATACATTTTAAATTCCTATATACTTCATAGGAAATTAACAAATGTAACCTAGTTATATTACAAGAGATTGCAATAATGAAGCTTATAAATTTTATATGAATGAAGAACATTTCTGAGAAATTATAATGTATGTTAACTTTGGTGATTGCAAAACCCTGTGACCAATTTAGGTAGGATCCTAGTTTGATTAAAATTGTACAGCTTGCCTTTACTTAAGTAAAGAATATATACAAATTTAAAGATTTTATCATGAAATAAGAATCTTAACTCAAAGTTAAATGAACTTCTATTGTATAATGATTATGTCATTTTAATCTTATCTCTGCTTCACAGTTATGTTAAATAGATATTTGTGTCTATTCAATTCTCTTTATTCTGAAGCATAATAAATGCTTCCAAAAATATTCTAATTTTGATTGACTGTTCACAAGCATAAAGGAGAACAATGAAAAGCTTACAAACAATTACCAATCCAAAATTGCCTTTCTGATCATATTTTAGTATCATTAATTTATCAGAGGAAACTAATCAGTCCTGAAAAATAAGTGATTAAGATAAGAACACTAATAAGTGCTAGACAGTATACCATACTTTATGTCACTTTCCCCTTGCTCAAACAAAATACTTGACATCTGAAACTTAAAGGAGAGGTTTGTTTTCACTTACATTTCAAAGGATTCAATCTATGATCATCTGGCTCCAAGACAGAAATGACATGGGAGAGGAAAGCTGCTCAACCCATGGCAGCCAAGAACCAGAAAGAGAAGGCAGGAGTTGAGGAAAACTACACCCTTTCAGGTCACACCCCCAGTGATCCACTTCTTCTGACTAGACCCCACTTCTGAACAGCACAGTCAGATTTGAACTCATCAGTGGACTAATCCACTGATTATTATAACCTATATGAAACTACCACCTTCCAAAAGCCCCATATTTGAATATATAAGACTTTGGGAAACATTTTAGATCCAGACCTTAGTATCCCTAATCTCCAACAATTGTGCAAGATAAATGGGTTTGTCCTCATTTTATAAACAATAAAGTGAAGCACAGAGAGATTTAGTAACTTTTGTAAGCATGTAAACAAAACTCAATTAAGAAGCATACTATCCAGGCCACTATCAGGTACACAGTCTCTAAAGGACACTAAAATATCCCTGGAAATATACCATGATTGAGAAAACTACAACAGTCAGAATCTCTCTCTGGCAGAGGTTGGAAAAACTTTTTATTGGCAAGGAGAATGTGATGGAAGTGTGGGAGTAGGAGCCTTCCTTAGTGCATATTCAAATAACAACATGCAATTATTAACTATGCCTTCTAACAATGAAGAAGGTTACCTTCCTCTCTTTAGTTTTCTGAATTAAGGTATACAATTTGGGCTCCACCTAAATCCTGGGAATATTTAAAAGTGATCACCATGCAGCATTCAGTCTCTCTAAATGTTAAATATGTAAAGTATATGGAAGTAGAGCTGGGGATTTAGCTCAGTGGTTCTGCCGCCTGCCTCACAAGCTCAAGGACCTGAGTTAGATTCCCCAGTAGCAAAAAAAAAAAGAGAGAGAGAGAATATGGAAGTCATCTTTCATGAGTATCTTTAAAAGGTGTGATAAAAAAATATGACAAATGCTGCTGCTAAGCACCATCCAGGAGAAAGGCAGGCTTATAAAAAAATTGTGGTGCTGTAATCCACCTTATTCATCAGATATCATACCATACGAATTCTGAGTCTTCCCCAAAATCAGAATGACTATGAAAGGTAGAAGTTTTCAGGACATCAAGGCAACCATGACAGCACTACTAGAGGCATGAGAGAGGACTTCCAGAACCACTGCAGAAAGTGGCAAGAATAATGGAATAAGTGTGTTCAAAACAATGGGGAATATTTTGAGGGGAATTAATGGCAATGTGTCTTTTACTGTAATAAATTTTTTAATTTAAGCATTCACCATATTTTTCTGTCATATCTCAAATAAAGATGTCAGCAAACTCTTAGGGAACAGTAGGGTTTTACTTAGAAAGTAAAGATATTTAGTTCAGTGTCTAATTCTGATACTGCGTGACCCTGATAAGTCACTTAATTTTTTTTTTCATTTTTAAAAATGGAGATCATAGTGTCATTGGATGAGGTCCAAGGAGATCTCCGTGAAGAGGAATTGGGGATCTTGACTCAGCCTGGACAAGTTCTTTACTTACTATGCCAGAAAGGAATTTTAGGATGCATCAGTAAGAGATGCAAGTTGATTTGTTAGTTAGAGTTGGAAAATAAGAGAAAATGAAGAAGGGACATTGCCCTAAGGAGTTGAAGGAGGTACAATTGTGATGGAGATCAGACTGGCCTGACAACAAAGGGAAGGGACCAGCTTTTGTGGGGTTGTTGGGTGGGGTAGGTTTGGCTGATTGATCATTGTGTCAGTTTTGGTTTTGCAAGATGGCTCCACAGACGTGCTTATCACTGGAGACGGTGCACCAGTATCCATGAGATGACTGGTTCGCTTGGAGAAGTCTCAGTTTTGCCAAGGTTTTGCTGGAATTCAAGGTGACCATAGGTTTAGGGTAATGACTAGAGACTTTGGGCACCCACTGATAGTTGAATGTCCTTATAAATCTCTTCCTTTGATGTCCTCAATCTTGAAAGCAGATGAGATATGTTATAAAAATACCTCATATTGCCATTTTGTAGACAGACATTCCCTAAATAATATGCTTATATGCAGACCTGAGCAAAAATTTGATCCAAATACATAATAAAGGCAAAAATGCCAGCTGTATGCAACTCTTAGTTACCCATTGGGCATCTGTAGGCCTAAGTGAACAGTAACTGTTTTTATTAAAAGCAGTTTTTAAGACCCTGACTGCCTCCGAAGAAAATATAAATTAAGGTTTTTCTAAAATTAATTTTATTGGTACATTTTAGGTATACAATATAATGACATTCATCATTAGAAATTTGTGACTTTACCTCATCTATCTTGGTTCTTATATTTTCCACTATTCCACTGCCCTCCCTTCAACCCCTCCAGCCCACCCTAGTTACAAAGACTTTCTTTCTTTCCATTTTTTCATTTTCTCCTGTTAATTCCATTCCCTTGTTTCCTTTCCCTTACCCTTCCCATTTCCCCTTCCCCTTTGCCCCTTTTCTTCCTATTTCACATAATCTATTATACCTTTTAGTCCTTATTTACACTTTCAGTTTCTCAAACCAGAGAAACTATTCAGTATTTGCACATGTGTGTCCTATTTATGTCACTTGAGAATATCACATAAGGCTGTGGATTTAGTTCAGTGGTTCTGCCACCTGTCTCACAAGCAGAAGGTCCCAAGTATGATATTCAGTACCAAAAAAAAATGAATATCTCCTCAAAGTGCATCCATTTAGCTATAAATGTCTCTAATTTCTCATTCTTTTTTTTTTCAGCTTTAATTGAGTTTATTGGTACATTTTAGGGATACAGTACAGTTACATTCATTGTTGGGATCTTGTACCTCTACATGACAAGTCTTGATTCTCATTTTTTCCCCTTACCCCTGCCCTCCCTTCACCCCCTCCTCCCCTCCCCATCTACAAACACTTTATTTTCATCTTTTCATTCTCTCACATTTTTTTCTTTTCCCTTATTACCCTTCCCCTACCCATCCCACCTTCCCTACACCTTTAGCTCCTTTCTTCCCATTTCTAAATGTCAGTAATCTTATTAGGATCTTCTGTATTATTGCAGATTATTCACACCAGGGAAACTATTCGGTATTTACACATGTGTGACTTATTTATTTCACTTAGGAGTCTAATTTCTCATTCTTTATGGCTGAGTAGTACTTCATTTTATTTTTTAAAAATATTTTTTTTTATCTAGTCTCCAGTTGATGGGCAATTGGGCTGTTTCCAAGTTTTAGCTATTATAAACTGTGCTACTATGAAAATGGATGCACATAACATATATTGCTGTGGTGTGATTCTTTTAATTCTTTTGGAAAGATACCCAGCAGGGGAATAGTTGGGTCAAATGGGACTTCTCATCCTTTTTTGAGATACCTCTGTACTGATTCCCACAGTAGTTGCACCAGTCTACTCTTCCACCACCAGGGCAGCAGGGTTCTTTGTTCCCTCCAGCATTTCTTATTCATTGATTTCATGATAGCACCCATTCTTTCTGGGGTGAGGTGGAACCTCAGCGTTGTTTTCATTTGCATCTCTCAAATGACCAGTGATATGGAACATTTTTTCATATGTTTGCTTCGTATTTCTACTTATTTGTCTGAGAAATGTCTGTTCATTTCAGATGCCCGTTTTTGGATTGGGTCTTTAAATCTGATTTTTTAAAAATCTTTATATATTCTAGATAGTAGACCTTTGTCTGAGGACAGCTCGTGAAAAAGTTTTTCCCACATTGTAGGTTGTCTCTTCACAATGTTGGTGGTTTCTCTTCCTGTGCAGAAGCTTTTTAATAAAAAGAGATCCCGATCATTTCTCGGCCTTTTGGCTAAGATCAAGTGTAGAAGAGATCCCAGTTGTTGATTCTTTGTGGTTGTTCACATGCAACTGAGGTTTTGTTCTTAAAACCTTTTTCCTATGCCAATGTCTTCAAGTTCTGCCTAAGTTCTCTTCCAGCCAGTATGATGTTTCTGTTTTAATATTTAGATCTTTAAGCCAGGCATTGTGGCACAGGCCTATAATCCCAGCACTCAGGAGTCTGAGGCAAGAGAATTGCTGTGAGTTCAAGACCAGCCTGGGCTACATAGTGAGTTCCAGGTCAGTCTCAACTACATAGTGAGACTCTGTCTCAAAAAACAAAACAAAACAAATATCTATATCTATCTATCTATCTATCTATCTATCTAATATATATCTTTAATCCATTTCTATTTTAGTTTAGTGCATGGTGAGAGATACAGGTCTAGTTTTAATCTTTGGCAAGTTGAAACCTAGTTTTTCCAAAACCATTTATTAAAGAGGCTATCTTTCCTCCAGGAAGGGTGTTTGGC